ACAAGTTAAAAAATAGAAATTTTAAGAGTGGAGCAACAGTAACGTTCTATTGACATGGTTTCTACATTTTGTGAGCAAAACTTAAAGTTAACTCCTAAAACAGAAGTGCTATCATTTTCTTTGTTGCAAAATACTTGAAGTGAGTGAAGGATGGTGGATTAAATCTATATTCACGAGTCAAATTAAACAGAATTTTGCCTTCGTCAAACCGAATATTTGATAATTCCTTCGTAAGTTTAAACGATGTATTATCAAGTTGCAAAGAGCTTGCTTCATATATACCCAATCTTTTACCTGTCGTACCATTCTATATCATGTTGTTAATACAGAAGTAGTGAAACAGAGACTAAACACAAAATATTCATTTTTAAATTACTTAAGCCAAACAGCCAGAGAAGTAAGTCTAAACATGCTTTACGCCTAAGCACAGAACACACAAGTAGGTCTTATAGATATAACTATGTAAGAGTTAAGCCATGATTTCTACAAAAAATAAGAAAAGAAATTTTCCCTTAACACATGTTTCTAATATGTATAATAACGCATCCAGGGTCCTTTATATACAACTATTAAATATACTTTCTACCAAAAGAGACAAACAGAGAATAACTACTTGAATCAAACCATGAATTAAAGTATGCTGATGCCTACTTTTATGACATCTAAATCATGAAAGGAAACTAACAAAAATACTGAAGCATAAATTTTTTCAAATTTACAGAATCAAAAGAAAGATAAAAGGAAGATCACTGACCTTTTTGCGGGCAACAAACCGAGGCGCGGATCTTAGATGTACTTTCGAACTCCGATTTCAAGCCCGATCCTTCCTCTCGGACAAAGGCAGATTCGACTAAAATAAATAAAGATAATAGATTTTGTGCAAGAGTAAATACCCAATAGAAACAGCAAGGGAGCAAAAGAATGAAGCTTCTTTGAGATGAATAATAATTAATAGGCAAAGAATGATTTATAGAAGGTAAGAGCAGCGGCTCTCTCCTCCCCAAAATTGTTGAGGATGCTAGTATTTATAGAGGTCTTCTAGGATTAAAGAGCTTCAAAATTTGAACGTTTAAATCCGAACGTTGGGGAGAACAGACGCTCCTTTGCTTGAAATAGGCGTGCAAAATTCTGAGCTTGAATTTTCAAAGGTCAAAACTTTGTCAAAAATAGAGAAAAAGGACAAAAGCAATCTGCCATTGCAGAAGAAGAAAGAGACGATAGAAAGAGAAAGTGGGAAGGGAAACAGTCATAGTGATGGAATTTAGGTAAAGTCTTCAATCTAGTTAATTTGAGATATTTTGGAATACAAAATAGGGTAAATTCAGATTGGGCTAAAATTTTGGGCCGATTTGGAGGCTTAATAGGTGGGCCAGTTTGTCCGAAATTTGGGCCTACAGTGCTGAACATTTTCTTTCTTCCTTGCATATTTCTTTGAGGCTTCTATTTAGATTTAAATTAATTTTATTTGCTATATTATATATTACTATGTAATATTAATATGTTAATAATCAATCTATTTAATAGTAGTAATAATAATAATAATAATAATAATAATAATAATAACAACAACAACAACGATGCTAATTATAAAAATAACTATAGTAGTAATAGTTTAATAATAATAATAAGAACAAATAAGTCAAGTTGTGTTGAAAATAACAGAATGCCGATTTTTATATTATTAATAATATTAGAAGCTTAAGCAAATAGTTTGGAAGAAAGGAGGGACAAAATTGGGTGTCAACAGCTGCCCCTCTTTGACCGGAGACGATGAAAGAGTTTTCGGGCAAAGAATATTGACTTAGTAGCCAATTTTGTCCCGACCATCAAGATTGGAATGGGACAAAGGGGACGTAAAAAAAAATGATTGCGGCCGAACTCCAGTTTCGAGTTGCCTACATATCTCGGGTTTCACGAGAATCAGACCATATGTAGTTCAAGACTTATGGTATTATGGAGTAGGATTTAACGATTGTTGCGGATCCTAAAAATGCTGCCCCAGTGTCGAATCATAGAAACAGTGGGTACCGTGATTGAAAGAAAGATGTTTAAAATAAGAATTTGGATTATGAATTTTGAGAGTTGAGCCGAGCGGAGTTCGAAGTAGATCCATGACCTTTGTTGGAGAGTTTGGTATTCCTCTCCAACAAATTGCCCCAGTTCACTGCTAAGATATAGTTCCACGTTGCGCTATATTTCCTGCAAAGCTTAACAATGCTAAAAATACTTGTTAGGAAATAAGATGCAATATGGCATAAAAGTAATCTTATGAAAATAATATTTAGGCATCGATTCATAAGAAAAGCGAATTTATTGTGCAATATAATTTTATGGTGACATATTTCATGGTCGGCAATGGCACATGGAAATTTAGTTTATAAAAGTAAATGCATTCAGCAATGATTTATGAAAGATATGTTTTGGCAATGCGTATGCAAGCGGGACCACTCGGATCGAAATAAATTAAATGTCCTTTTGAGGAAAGATTAACTTCAATATCCTATTTGAGGGCGGATGGACCCGATATATCCTATTTGAGGGCGGATGGACCCGATATATCCTATTTGAGGGCGGATGGACCCGATATATCCTATTTGAGGGCGGATGGACCCGATATATCCTATTTGAGGGCGGATGGACCCGATATATCCTATTTGAGGGCGGATAGACCCGATATATCCTATTTGAGGGCGGATAAACCCGACATGTCCTATTTGAAGGTGGACAAGCCTCACATGTAGTGCTTGATTTGCAATTTTAAAGATTGATGCAGTACGAAGAGCTTGATATGATGCCCATTTTGTAGTGATAATTCATGGGGTGATGCAAAAATTCTGGTGAGATGATTTTGTTGTAGTGAATGCCCATGGTGCGAAGAGCTTGATGCAGTGCTTTTACAGGTAAAATATTTAAGGAGCGGTGCCAATAAATTGGGAATTTGCATGCTGAAGTTTATTATTAGTAAATTCCTGCACTCAAAGAAAACTATGAGTTTCAAAATATAATTTGCGATAACTCTGCTTGGTCTCCATGTTGCACTATTTTTCATGCAAAGCTTAACATGCTAGGCAAATTCATCAGTATAGTAGATATTGAAATGCAATGTGCAGTAAAATAATCTTATGAAAATGACACATTTGGGCGTTTACAATGCGACTTAGTTGATAAAAATATAGCTTTATGCCAATGATGATTTCCAACAATAACACGCGATTTATAAATGTGCTTTGCAATGATTTATGATAATGAGGTACTTCAGTAATGATATTAAAAACGTGACCATCTTGGTCAAAATAAATTAATGAAAAGCATGTGAATATGTGCTAAAGTATCCTGTTATTCAGGTGAACAACCTTATGTCCATTTAATCGGGTGGACAACCTTGTGTTTAATTAAAGGAAAATGTGCCTAAATGTCCTATTAAAGGCGGACGAGCTTAAATATCATAAAGGCAAGCGTGATTAAAAATTTAATTAAAGGCGGATAAGCCTAAATATCCTATTTAAGGCGAATGAGCCTAACATGTTTAATTAAAGATAAATGTGCATAAATGTCCTATTAAAGGCGGGCGAGCCTAAATATCCAATTGAAGGTGGATAGACCTAAATATTTAATGCATAAAAGTCATGTTAAAGGCGGACAAGCCTAAACGTTCCATTAAAGGCGAACAAGCCTAAATATCATAAAGGCAAGCATGCTTAAATATCCAATTAAAGGCGGATAAGCCTAAATTTTAATGCATAAATGTCATGTTGAAGGCGGACAAGCCTAAATATCATATTAAAGGCAAACTTGCCTAAAAATTCAATTGAAGGCGGAAAAGCCTAAATATCCTATTTAAGGCGGATAAACCTAAAATATTTAATTAAAGATAAATGTGCATAAATGTCCTATTAAAGGCGGACAAGCTTAAATATCATAAAGGCAAGCGTGCTTAAATATCCAATTGAAGGCGGATAAACCTAAATATTTGATGCATAAAAGCCATGTCAAAGGCGGACAAGCCTAAATGTCATATTAAAGGTAAACTTGCATAAAAATCCAATTAAAGACGGATAAGCGTAAATATCTTATTTAAGGCGGATGAGCCTAAATATTTAATTAAAGATAAATGGGCATAACTGTCCTATTAAAGGCGTACAAGCCTAAATGTTTAATTAAAGATAAATGTGTGTAAATATCCAATTAAAGGCGGATAAGCCTAAAATATTTAATGCATAAATGTCCCGTTAAAGGTGGACAAGCCTAAATATCATATTAAAGGCAAACTTGCTTAAAAATCCAATTAAAGCGGGTAAGCCTAAATATCCTATTTAAGGCGGATGAGCCTAAATATTCAATTAAAGATAAATGTGCATAATTGTCCTATTAAAGGCTGACGAGCCTAAATATTTAATTAAAGATAAATGTGCATAAATATCCAATTAAAGGCGGATAAGCCTAAATATTTAATTAAAGGCAAAATGTGCCTAAACGTCCTATTAAAGGCGGACGAGCCTAAGTGTTTAATTAAAGATAGATGTGCATAAATATCCAATTAAAGGCGGATAAGCCTAAATATTTAATTAAAGGCAAAACGTGCCTAAACGTCCAATTAAAGGCAGACGAGCCTAAATGCCCTATTAAAGGTGGACAAACCTAAATTTTAATGCATAAATGTCATATTGAAGGCGGACAAGCCTAGATATCATATTAAAGGCAAACTTGCTTAAAAATCCAATTAAAGGCGGATAAGCCTAAATTTCAATTAAAGGAAAAATGTGCCTAAACGTCCTATTAAAGGCGGACGAGCCTAAATGTCCTATTAAAGGCGGACAAGCCTAAATATTTAATTAAGGATACATGTGCATAAATATCCAATTAAAGGTGGATAAACCTAAATTTTAATGTATAAATGTCCTATTGAAGGCGGACAAGCCTAAATATCATATTAACAGGCAAAAATGCTTAAAACCCCAATTAAAGACGGATAAGCCTAAATATCATAAAGGCAAGCGTGCTTAAAAATCCAATTAAAGGCGGATAAGCCTAAATTTCAATTGAAGGCAAAATGTGCCTAAACGTCCTATTAAAGGCGGACGAGCCTAAATGTCCTATTAAAGGTGGACAAGCCTAAATGCGATGCTTGATTTAAACTTACAAGATTGGTGCAGTGTGAAGAGCTTGTCATGGTTCTTTCGAAGTAACATATATTGATGGTGCAATGCAGAGAGCTTGGTGCAATAATTTTGCAACAGCAAATGGTGCGATGCAGAGTGCTTGATGCAATGCCTTTGTAGTAGTGAATATTCCTGGTGCAATGCTAACAGTTGTTGGAGCTTCAAAATAACGTTTTGCTATTAATAAATTCCCGCACTCAAAGAAAAATTATAAGTTTCAAAGTTTGATTTGCGCTTGCTTGGCTTCATCCTTTGCTTTGCATGAACTTTGTGACTTTTGACTTGATGCTGAGCTTTGCGATAGCATGTAATGTTCGAGAATAGCTAAAATATGCCCCTGCATTACTCAAAGCAAATTCGTTAGTATAAAATAAAGTGGTTGCTTTGCATTGAACTTCAAAGTTTGGCTTTGAATCTGCAACTTGTTGCCATGTCATTCTGGAATTTGCTGTTATGCTTGCAATAAATATGTAGCTCGAGATTTCATTTTCTGCTTTGCCGAATGATGAGGATCCTACTGCAAAATCTGCCCCGATTTTGGCTTTTAGGGTAAATAGGATCTTTATTATGATGAGACCGAACCCATAAGGCTGCCACCGAACCCATAAAGTTGCCTACGTATCCCCTCTTAAACGGGAATCAGGTCAGAACATAGTTCATTACAAAAGCAAGGCATGATTACAAAAAAATAGCTGCTCGTAGGATGATAGTTGAAAAATGAAAATTCCAGCAACGCAAGGTGAACTAGTCTAGACGACGTTTCTTCTTCGGATGCCCAACCACGCTCGCTGTATTGCTTGTGCTGCTGCTAGTTGCATTTGAGATATTTGTTCTTACTAGTAGGTGCACTCGCAATTTGTTAGCATCAATCATATTCTGAATCTTATGCTTTAATGCTAGACATTCTTCTGTATCATGACCTTGAGAATTTGAATGGTAGGCACAATACTTGGAAGGATCAGATAATGGATGTGATGGGTCAAATATCCTCCCTTTTCTTGGTTGCACAACAATTACTGAGGCATTCAATCGAGTGAATATACTAGAGATTGATTCAGTCAAAGGCGTGAAGTTGCGGGGCTTCCTTTTCTTTAATTGGTGAGAAGCGACTTGTGCATGGCGATGTTGATATTGAATGCTTTGTTGGTGATGAGGCTGGAGATGCATGTCGCGGGCGTTAGAGATGGCATGATTTTGCAAAAGCTGGTGATTCTGATGGCATTCCGGTTGATGCATAGTCATGGCAACTGAGGCATTTTGCTTCTCTTTACTTTTCCGATTTTTCAGCATCTCGAGTTGTAAAGCATGATTGACAGTTTGCATGCTAACATTCCTTCTTTGATGCCGCTTCCTAGGAAGTCCTCGACTCTAATCAAGTCTGAGAAATTACGCATGTTCGCAGTAGCCAACTTTTCATAATGTATGCCATTTTGAATGTCAATTTCTTTTTCACATCTCTTATGAGGGCATACTGCTATTGGTTTTGCTTGCTTTCTTCAAATGGAGTTGTGGTTATGGGAGATATTATCATGACTTGATTAGGGTTGCAGGTTGGTGAAATTTGTGTGGAGATTGCATAAGTAGGAGCTGGTCAAGGGGATATGGTTAAGCAAATATTTCGGTTTGAGCTAGAAGTGGAGGTTGTATTTGGAAGAAGGTTGAAAGTTCTTCCCAGATTAACCCACAAGTTTCTTCGTACCACATTTGCCTCGGTATCTTCACCTTCTGCTTGCAACAATCCCTTACTAGTGCTGAATTCTTCAAAACGGTCGGCCATTATAGCGCGTCCTTTATGCAGATTCGCAGCCAAAACAGTGTTCAATGCGAGGCAACCTTTAAAGGAAAAATAAAACTCTTACAAAATAAAATGTTAGCATATTCGTCATAACAAAATAAATGCACCAAAATAATAAAATATATGATTAGATAGATTAATCCATGATATGGTTAAGAAGTAGCCCTAAACTAGAAACAATAGCCTAAATTGCAAAATGGATGGACGAGAATAACTTGTTATCTAGAGGGCTCTAACGCTAGAGACTTGTTGACAAGGAAGCAAATTGATTTAAAGATTTTGTGAAAGGTTGACTCATGTCGAATATCAAAGCTTTAGCTCTATCATAAGTTCTTTTCCTTGCATGACTCCGGAATTTTCAAAAATTGCCTCGATCTTTAGGAAGCTTTGATTATTACTCCATGGGATGATGTTCCTTTCGAGCATACTCATCCTGCGTGCTAAAAATCTGCCCCAGTTTCTTCACCATAATGAGACTGAGCCTTACGTAGGTTGCACGCGTAAGGGAGGTAGGTGGGGAATGATAATCTTTCAAATTCTGTGATAGAGTCCTTATTAATCATGCTTCTTCTGCATACCCATTGTTGGCAGCTTAGAATGCCCTTCCTAGCAAGCAAGAGTGCAGATTTGAAAAAACTGGCCGTTACACTCGTAAGTGGGATGCAGTTGTATGAAATGAAGAGTAGCCTTTTGCATTGGACGAGTTCTTAAGATCGGTTATCACTTCCTTGACGCCATAAATTTCTTGCTCTATTTGCCATTTTTGCTTCAAGCTTAGCAATCTTATCTTGGTATGATTTGGATTTCTTGTACTCAAACTCATCCGCATCTAGGTCAATCACTGTGATTTGGTTGGCCATATTGTCCTTGAACTTGTGTGCTTTGATGTTCAACTCAAGTCAACCTCTTTGGAAAAAGGTATATATAGTCACTATGGAGTAGATAAATATTAAAGGCTAAGGGTAGGATATTTGAGAATGCGTGCCTAAGAAATCGACGAGATCGGGTCTTGTAATATTACAATGTTTTAGAGAGGCCAAAGATGTGTGATTTTTGATATTAGAAAATAATTTGTTGATATTTGGATATAGACAAGCTCAGGATCAAAATAATTGATAAGGATATGGTAGTCAATGAAAAGAATCTAATATATATATTTTTTTTGTTTTTGCTTTAGCAAATCGTAAAGTTGTCGAGGCCGGGGAATACAGTGCCAACCGTTTTGAGACTTATGGGATAATAACTCGACTCATGTGCCAATCTTAGAATTAACGGGTGCGTAAAGATTAATCTCGACGACCCGAGATAAGACGATGCAGACATTTGAATTGAATAGGTAAAAATATTAGAATAACTTGACGATGCGAATTGACCAAAATAGTGGCCTTCTATTGCTCGGTAGATTGCGCAAGTTTGGACATCTACCAACTTGTAAATAAGAGTCGGCACGAAGGTTAAAATTCAAAGACAAAGGTAGAATACTAAGTAAATTTTATGAAACATAGAGCTACGAGGCAAATAAAAGATTTTGCCGGAGTTGGAAAAATTAAGGAAGAATTGAAAATTATGAGGCACGAGTGACAATATTTTAAAAACGTGTAACCATATTTTAATAAAAGGACTAAAATAAAATTAACGTGCAAATTTAGATAATCCTCATATATGGACCAAAATATATCACCTAAAGATTATACCAATTTTTAAAGAAGTAAGATGTTCATTGTTGTTTAAAGAAAATTCTTAAGGCTAGTTTAAGGCACGAGTATCGATGAATTTTCATGACGAACCGAGCCTATTGAAGAGTTTATGGGAAAGATGTCGTACTTTATAAAAATAGAAGATACCGAGAGACTAAAGATATCTTAATTAGACTCTAAGAATTGGAGTAGACCTAAAAGGAATTTGAGCCTAAGTAAATACCAAAAATGGTGCTCTAGAGTCGTTATGCGCAGAATATTTGGTGATTATTATTAATTCAGGAAAACGATATAGAAATAAGCAAAAGAAAGAAAAAATTATATGAAAAAAATAAAAGTATATATTTAAATAAAGATATAAGCAAGTTGGATAGTTGACACTTCCTTCTTCTGTAAAACAACAAAAAATGTTAGTAAAAATAATAAAGTCGAGTAAGTAACATAGCAAGTAAGCAAGTAGGCAAGCAAAGCATATGACACATTTCAAAGAGAAAATAATAGCGCATCCTAATACGTGGGGGCCTCTTTGTGCCAGATGTAGGCCTAACGTGTATTTGAAAAATAAATATGCCATTATGTATCATCTCATTTCTATAAATTAATTAAGTAATTCTATTTTTTTTAAAGCAAACAAATAGTAAAATATAACTGCTTAAACATTTTTTTTTAAAAGGGTGTATTTTCATCAAAAGAAAAAAAGTATAATAAAATATATTTACTATAATTAATTAAGTAAGTAATTTTATTTTTCAAAAGCAAAAAGAAGTACATGAATCACTTAAGCCATTTTATTTATTTTTATGTAAAGAAAATCAAAAGAAAGTACAATAAAAGATATTTTTGTCATGTGTAAACTTCTCGTTGTTCCGCAAGATTATGTCATTTGAAAACTTTACACATGTTATAAAAAGATAGTCATGCTCCTTTAACTAGGATTTAATTAATTTAAAGTAAATAATCCACATAATCGGCATGTTCACCCTTCAAATAATGCATATAAATATGATAAGTGTCACTTGGGGTTGAAAACCCACTTGGACATTTAGGTAAGGTTAACTAATAAATTTAATACACCTCGGGTATTAAAACACCTAAGGTTAAAATGATGCATGCTCTTAAATGGGTTTTGGTTTAGCTCTATCTTAGGTTGACTAAGAGTGAGTTTTCTAGACTGGTCTGCTCCCAAGTGGACAACTTGAGAGTGGAAAGCCCGTGACTGTCGACTGCACCGCTGATCGACATACCCACGAACATTCCCCTAAAAGGTACTTTTTTGAAAAATGCACAGCCGCAAACCACGTAACCGCTAGGTGTGTGCTTTGTGTGAATATTTCAGAAGTGGAGGATGTGAAACGGAATGACAATTTATATAAAGCAATGGTCAGTAGTGTTTATTCAAGTGTTATTTAATCGACATCAAATTTTATTTGATCAACACATAGACAGATCACACAATCTTTTGCTATTTTGTACCCAAAAAAAATCTTAAAGCATGCTTTCTATGTAGGAAATTAAACAGACAAACTAATATTTATTTCTAATATGAAGTAAACAAAAAAAAGACAAAACTAGGATTTGAGAATTATTGACCTTTTTGTGAGCAGTGAACGGGGCTTTTGAGGTTTCAGATCTACTCAGCGAACAAGATCGACAGTAGAATCGATTTTAACCAAAATGATGCGAATTTAAAAGAACAATGGTCAGTAGTGTTAAGAGAGTAGTAAGATATATGAGATTTTATGGTCCTCCTCCCGCTTGGCTTCGGCTGAGACTTAGAGAAGTATTTATAGGCGATAAAAAGCTAGGGTTTCTGAAGAGCGGGAACTTAAAATTTTGAATTCGAAATCTTGGTCAACACATCCGCTTGAATCTAAACGTTGGAGGTTTGGACGGACTTCATCTTCACGTGATGCTTCAGGCCATGCTTGAAATGGTGAAATTTGGTCTGTTCCTTGAAGATTCACCACAAAAAGAGAGATAAAAGAAAATACCAAGACAAAAATATGAGATAGAGGAAAATGACACATGTACAAAAAAGATCTAGCATATTCTGATGAAGAGGATGAAGAAGATTGTATTTTGTTTATAAGAGGAAAGGAGAGGAAGGGTGGGGGCGGCTGACAAGTCTTGGAAGAAAGACATGGGACCTAATTTATTTCTAGGTTTTAGTTAAGTGAGTAAGAGAGTAGTTGGGCTGCTAAACTAAGCTTTGGATGTTTGGGCTTCAGGTATTTTAGAACAAAATGGGCTTACTTATTTGGTGGCTTGAGAAAGAACTATTAGTCTTAAAAAAATCCAACATGTTATTTATTTGGGCTATAAAATTGGTCTGAAAAACAAAAGAAGTTTTGGGCTCCTAATTGGTCGATTTTTATGGCATTTTTTCGTTCTTCAAATTAATTCTTTTGAGCTTCTATTTAGATAAAATATTTTAATAATCATACTATATAATACTAGATAATATTAACATATGAAAATATCCCTTATACTAATATAACTAAAAAACTATAATATTCTTGGGATAAATACTTATAAAACGTATGATTAAAGAAACATTACTATTTTACTAAATAAAGAAGAATGACATGCTTTTTCACAAAAGGCGATAAGAATGAATGAACGAGTGCATAATAATAATAATAATAATAATAATATAGT